CACCCCATGCCCGCAGCTCCTGCCCAGCCACCCCTCCCTGTCCCCAGGGAGCCCTGGGTGGGGGGTCCCCATCGTTGTCCTGGGTGGGTGGGGGGGGGGGAACGACACGCGCAAGGTGGGACCCTATTTTCCCGAGGGAGTCCGCTCCATGCCGTAGCGCAGGAGATGGTGGAGGTCCGTCAGCGCCCGTGGGGGCCCGGTGCCGGGTGCCCGCGGGGCGGTGCCGTGTCGCCCGTAACCACCCGCCGGCGCCTCGCCGCTGTTGAACGTGTGGTTCCTCTTGAGGTGGGCGCCGGGGCGGCCCGTGCCATTGTTGGCGTTGAAGTTCAGCTGCTCGGGGTGCCAGGGTGGCCCCTCGGTAAAGTCTCTCCCCTCCCCGCCGGGTGCCGAAACCACCCGTCGGCGATCGGGGCTGGGGTGCGGCGTGCCGGCGAAGTCACCGTAGGAGCTGCGGGGTGGGCGGCGGGTGCCGGCGGGTGGGTGTTGACGGGTGCGGGGACCCTCCTGGGTGTCCCGACCCCAATGCCCGTCACCCGAGGAGTCGCTGAGTTCGGCCTCCAGCTCCTGATCCACCAGGATGGCGTGGCAGGAGAGAGGGATACCGCGAGCCGGGCGGCCGGAGCCGGCGTGCAGCCGACCGGCGCCGGCGGCGGTAGTGCCGGATCCACCGGGGTCCCGCAAAGCGGCGTTGATGATGTTATGACTCTGCTCCCAGGTGCAGTTTTGGAGGGCGCCGGGGCAGCGTTTCTGCTGCAACGGGGTCTGCTCCGGCGTGGGCAGGACCCCCGAATCCAAGTCGTGTTGGGTGACCTTCCCCAACTCCTTGGGCCAACCGTTGGGCATGAGCGGGGCCAGCAAGGCGCCGGGTTGCCCGCCGCGCGCCCGCCGCTCGCCCAGCCGGCTGACGCTCACCACCGACTCGCTGTGCGCCAGGATGGTCTCCTTGTCCTTGCGACGCGCCAGCTCCTTGCGGTCCCGGTGGCCGATGAACCAGCAGACGCTGAAGCCGGAGATGACGGCGCCGATGACGAAGGCGGCTACGGAGGAGATCACCAACAGGTTCACCGATACCAGTCCGTCCGGCTCATCCACGAAGCTCTCCGTCACCAGCCCTGGGTGATGGCGGAGGGGGCGAGACGTCAGGGGACGGCCACGGTGGGGACGTGGCGGTGCCGCCGCCGCGTCCCCGAGCCCCGTCCCTGCCCCACGCTCACCCTCGCATTCGCCCAGGTGGGACGTGCTGCCGCCGCCGATGTCCTGCTCGAAGGCCACCCTGGGGGGGTGCAAATATGGGGAGGGGGGGGTGTCAGCTGGTCCCTAATAGCCTGGCCGAGGGCTCCCAGCTTGCTTCGGAAAGCAATGAGTTTGCTGGGTCTCAGTGGTAGGGGGGTTTGCAGGAGCCAATGGTCTCTGGGGAGCCCCTGGGACCCCGCTGTGTCCCCCCATCCCCAGGCCTGGCAGCGTTACCTGGGGCTGGGCTCCAGGAAGATGCAGGATCCCTCCGGCGTCCAGCCGCAGTACGGGTCCCGGCTCCCGAGGCAGTTCCTGGCAGGGAGCGGAGATGTCAGGATCGGCCCCGACACGGCGAGGATGACACCCTGGCCCCCGCGAGGGACCCTGGCCCCGCACCACGCCGTGCCTCAGTTTCCCCTGGCCATGCTCCCAGACACGCTGAGTCCTTCCCAGCCGGATCCCGGCGTAGGGCAAATTCCTGGGATGCGACGGTAACCCTTCTCTGCTCCTCGCGTGCCCGCCCCACCGCAGCGAGCCCTGCCCACCCCGGGGAGCGGCTGAGACCGGCGCACTCACTTCATGCAGCCCGAGTGCTGCTGGCAGCGAGCCACTGGCACCCTGGCCACGCACGGGGGGAAGGCCAGCAGCAGGGACCCCGCCGCCTTGTCCAGCTCCAGCCCCAGGAGCCGTCGCTCGTCCTCTGTGTCCCGGCCACACCTGGGGACAGGGCAGAGATCAGCGTGGTCCCGGCCCTGGTCCCCCCCTGCCCCGCCATGGAGGCGGCCCCAGCGTAGGCTGGTCCAGAGGAGGGCATCTCACCCCTTCCCCCCACCCCATTCACCCCCCCACCCCTTGCATCCCTCTGACCCACCCCCTCCAACCATCCATCCATCTCACCCAACCGCCTCATTCATCCTCCCCTGTCACCTTGCAACCATCAATCCCTCCCTAAACGTCTCATCCACCCACCCACCCATCAATCCAACCACACATCCATCCATCCATCCACCCAACCATCCAATCACCCACCCAAAAATCCACACATCTGACCACCCCCACGCACCCACCCGGTCACCCACTCCTCCCCTCTCCTCCCTCCCACCACCCCAGCACCCACCTCCCGGGGTGGTAGGTCTCAAATTCCTCCAGGAAGACGCTCTGGCTGCCAGGGGCGGTGGGCATGGGGCTGGTGCTGGCATTGGGCTGGATGAGGAACTTGAGGACGGTGCCCGTGCTGGAGCCGAGGAAGACCACGGTGTGGTTGCCCCACGGCCCCGCTGCATTGTCCACCACGATCTTGCGGAGCTGGTACCTACGTGGTGTGAACAGAGCAGGCGTTGGGGCGTGCGGGAGCCTGCGTGTCCCCAGGGAGGGGGAAACTGAGGCAGGGTGAGGCGCTGGGACCCCCCCCTCCCAGGGATGGACAGGCTGTGGCTGGCCCAAAGCAGGGAGTCCCCAAGCAGCGTGAGGGACCATGCAGATCCCAAATGGAAACTAGTCCAGATCCTGGCCAGGACCCATCCCAGATCCCAGCCAGGATCCTGCCCACATCCTGCCTGGACCCAGCCTGGATTCCACCCAGATCCCACCTGGGACCCAGCTCAGATCCCACTAAGGAACCAGCCCAGATCCCCCCGATCCCTCGGCAGGATCCCAGCTGCTCCCCGGCCCCACGTGCCCATCCCCAGCCTCGTGTCCCTGTCCCCAGCCCCACGTGCCCAGCCCCAGCCCCATGTCCCCATCCCCAACCCCATGGCCCCGTCCCCAGCCCCGCGTGTACCCCGGCTGCCCTGCCGGCAGGAGGCTACAGCCCGAGAGCGCCGCTTGATTAATTCTCCATCAAGCAGCAATTAAGGCAGATTTAATTAGGACGAAACAATCTTGACTGCAAAGTTTATGAGATTTATCAGGTCTCCCAGTGCTCCCTCGGTGCTGGCACACACGTGCAAGGGTGGCCCAAGAAGGTCCGGCCAGCACCCACCAGCACCCACCAGCACCCTCCTCGGGCCGGATCCTGCCCCGGGGCACTCACCGGCTCATGGTGCGGAGGATCCAAGGCACATTGCCCAGGGACGGCACCGCCTCGTCCATCAGCGGGTGCGTCTTGACGAAGTTGAGGATCTCGTCGGGGAAGGTGCTGGAGGAGTTGTAGCGCATCCCCGGGGATGCGCAGCACCCGGGCCTGCGGCCGCGCCACAGCTCAGCGTCCCCGCGGCCGTGCTGGCCCTGTCCCCAGCCCTGTCCCCAGCCCAGCTGGTACTGGCCATGGCTGTCACTGTTCCTGTCCCCAGTCCCCATCATCATCCCCACCACCCTCCCTGCAGGTACCAGCCCTGATCACTCCTGTCCTCCTCCCTGTCCCCATCCTGTCCCTGTCCCCATCCCTGACCCTAAACCCACTCCCATTGCTCTCCCTTTAGGTACCAGCCCTGTCCCTGTCCCCATCCCAATCCCCGTGCCCCTTCCCGCCGGTCCCAGCCTGGCTGTCCCCATCCCTGTCCCCGCGGCGCGTCACTCACCGAGGCTTTGGCACCAAGTCCTCGGGCACGGGCGTCCAGATGGACTCGGGCGATTTCTGCTCCCGGAAACGTCCCTCGAAGACGGCAGCCACTTGGGTCATGTCGAAGGCGCAGACGGCCGAGCCGGGGATGCTGGGGGGATGCGGGCACAGGGTGAACACCTCAACCCATCCTCCCACGTCCCCCACGGTCACTGGGGCGCACAGAGGGGTCCCAGCTCAGCCCTGGGGGTCTCAGCAGGGCACAAGAGGGTCCGACCTGTTGGCAGGCGTGGAGAAGACGGCCAGCACCACGGGGCGCCCATCCAGTTCCAGGATGTCCGTCACGGCTTGGATGACGTTGAAGTAGAAATGTGAGTCGCCTGGCACGGAGCAGTTGAGCCGGGCCTTGAGGAAGGAGGTCCACTGCTTCTCCAGCACCCGCTGCGAGCCCCCCATGTCGTTCTTACACACCCGGGCCACCCGGGACACCACCACCTGTGGATTGGACACCCATCGTCACCTGGTACCCAACCCCGATGACCATCCCTTTGTCCCTGTCCCCACCCTGGGTGTCTCAGGCCACCGCAGGGATGTCTCCCACCTTCTCAAGGTAGTTGAACTCCATGGCGATCTCCCGGAAGAAGAAGTAGACGTGGCTCCTCCATTCCACGGCGTGCACAAAGTAGGGCTCTGCGGGGACAGTGGCAGGGTCAGGGATGTCCCAGGATGGCGTGAAAGGGGACGCGTGCCACGTCTCGGCATGGCACACGGTGGGCACCGCGCCGGGGGAGGCACCTTTGAACCATTTGGAGTCGTGTTTGACGGTGCGGAGGGTCGGGCTGTCCCCCAGGCTGCGGTAGATGACGGCATCGATGGCCAGGAAATCCGTCACCGTGGCGGTGAAGAGCATCCCCCCTGCGTGGGAGAGGGGCGTCAGCCGGGCGCGGGGCAGGGGACGGCGGGCAGAGCGCCCGGCACGGTGCCGGCGGTGCCGGCACTGACCTGTGAAGAGGGCCACGTTGGCGTGCTTGGGGTCGTAGGGACACCGGGCCATGCCGCTGATGTTGTCCCCGATGGGCTCCAGCGTGTCCATCTATAACGGGTGAGACGGGGCCGTGAGCGATGTCACGCAGGCACCGGGGTCCGGGCTGCCTCGGCGGCGCGGGCGGGAGCATCCCCTGCCCGCAGAGCCGGTCACCCAGACACAGAGGGGGTGACACGAGGGGTCCCGGGTGTCCCTGTCCCGGCGGGGTGTGGGTGACTCACGCTGTAGTT